CCCCTTCCCTGACTTGGATTGTGAGCCTCCCTGAGTCCCCTTCGGGGAAAAGGGCGGCATATAAATGCAATAAATTCAATTCAATTCAATTCAATGCTTTCTCATATACAAGGAATCAGTTCATGAAATCTGTTTGCATTTTAGTAAGCTTGAACATTTTATAAATGGAACAGATACAAATTTAATAAAGTATAATTGGCTTTATCTTTATTCACTTATAAATTTCATAAATAAAAATTAAAAACAGCATAAAGCATAAAGCTAAGTACATCTATAGTTGATAACAGTTACTAAAGGGATAAGGTAGGTCCTTATCCTTCCTTATGTTATCTCATGCTAACATTGGCAGTACCCCTCCAGACTAAGCAAAAACATTTAACTGCCTGAAATATATCAGTAAACCTTTGCATTACAATGTTTATGGAGATTCTCAGTCAAAGGTGCTTTTTCAAAAGGCAACTGGACTTTGAACAGAACTGAAAAAACTTCTTGGATGAGAAGCAAAATGTCTTCAAGGAAAAGCAAAATCCAATTGCCTTTTGAAAAATCAGGTAGTTGGCACCAGGATCAATCAGTTCTGGCACCAGATCTAAATAATTGCATCAAGCACATATATTTGCGGATAATAAAATTTTACAACAAAACCAAACTTTCTCCAGCCTGATGTTCTTAAATTATATTAAACTTCAATTTACAGTTAATTCAGCCCTGAAGATAGTCCTTAGTTCAGCTCTAGAATTCTCTTTTAAAAACCCTAACATTTAGTTCCTCTTTTATGACCCTCAAAATCAATTGATAGTTCTAATGGCTTCCTTTTATCTTATGATGCAGAAATTTATATGCTTACTCATAGACTCAGGCATATGTAGGTTCTCTGTGTGAATGTGAATGAAAATTTCTCAGCATAAAAAATACCTCCAAACAAAGATTATTACATTGTAGAACTACTGAGGTTTTGGGGAACTCTGACACTGAAGGCTTCCACTTGTTACATTACTATTACCGTATATTTTACCTTTTCTCTATCATGTTTTCAGATGGAGGGCTTCTAGGACTATCAATCTTAAGGTCTTCTTGCTTTCCTCATTCCATATATTCTATTTTTTCTGGTAGTAAAAAATATGGCAGAAGCAATTAAAAGACAAAGGAAAACTACAAATGAAACAATGTTTGGATTCCTTGTACAAATTATATGTTTCAGATAGGATGATTACATGATAAAAGCTTCATTGAGAAGACAATACATTACAGGGGGAAAAGAGAAGGTCTGCAAAATTTCTACATTGAGTTAAGAACCATCTGTCCGGAATAAGTAATAATGGAGAAAGAGTCCCAAGATAAAATTTGCCTGTGGGGGGCATGGCCTTTTTAATAGTTGTTTATATGAACACTATGTTATTCTTCTTGCAATTCAAAGTAGATTCCCAATTTGATGAAGAAAAGTCTTCAAAAGTCTTATTCTGATTGCTTCATAATATACAAAAGTGACTCATTGGTAGAGTGCCAGCAGTTCATAATCTGATAAAATAATAAAGAGCATTCTGCATACCGTATAGGAATTTTTGTAATGCTTAAATAGCGAGACTGACATGATGTTAATACATTCAATGATCTGAACCAGAAACACTACCCAACAGTACATTGTTCAAATAAAAGTTCCTTCCAACGATCAGTTTCATAACCTTCAAAGTTAAGCTAAATAAGCTTCATTAACTGAGTCTATCATTCCCATCCAGGTCTGTACCAATATGTTCCAATTGTGGAGACATTCCTGTCACTAGCACCTGCAAAACTAAATATTCACTTCTAATAAATTAATCCAAATCTATGCAATCTACAGTGATGATAGTTGAAATTTTTATATCGGTCTCTTTGAACTCTCGCTATATAATAAGTTAAAAGATATATTTATATAACTTGAACTATCAACAATATTGATTTTTTAAGAATATGTTTGAATTATGTAATATAGGTTTACCTGAATCTCAAAATTTTAGACATTTAGCCTTGATGTTTGATATTAGATTATCAGTAGTGTTTGCTCATTTTTGTGCCACATTTGAATACAAGGTTATCACTGCTGTAATTCTAGGGCTAATACCAGGCAAAAAAAGTACTAGACTATTGAAGATAAAAGACTCAAACATTCATTTTAAGGCACTGTTTTAATTCTATGCCTAAATCAATAGGAAACATAAATCAGAATATGAATTAAATTTAGAGCATGTTATAGAGCAGGTCTATTTTAGAATACAGTTTTCATTTTAAATAATTATGTCGGATGAAATCATTATGAAGTTAGTGATCATCTCTTTGTCATCACCATAGCATTACTGAAAATATCCTTAATGTAGTTAATCTTGTGTTCCAAGTTTGCTTCATAAACTTTGGTTCATGTATATGGGGGGGGGGGGTCTTTCTGTACACATGTATCATTAGTTACAGATGTTCTGGTCCAATAACAAAAATTTGTAGGAAATTAATTATATCGGTGATATATTCCAAAAAGGCCATTTATTCTGGAAGAAAGATTAATTTGTGCAATATGAATTTTGCACAAAAATAAAAATAATTCATATATAATTGATTAAGGCATATTTTATGAAGTGGCTTGAGATTTTGACTGACTTTGGGGTCACTAAACAAAGCAGATGGCTGAACAGAATTTGGAATTTGTATGTATGCTTTCTTCATCAATAAAAAAGACAAACATGACTTCAAATGATTGGCCACTTGTGATAGGACAAGTTTTCATCCAGCAGCTATTCTTTATGAGAACATATATAAATTTATTTTGTTCATTTACGTGCCATTGTTTCTCACAAATATACTGCCAAAATATTATTGTAAGATGAGCAGCATATAAATCTAATGCATACACATATACATATATACATCTAATGGCCCACCAAATTTATTTGCTGATAAGAAAATTATGAAGGTTGCAGTCTGAATTGAAACATATTTATGTAATAAAATAAAACAAGATTTCTTCATAATAAAATTAAAGATTTGTTTATGACAATGATGAATCCTCTGTTCATGAATGTATAAATGCTTTGAAAAAATTAATATCTGGAATTTTCACAGACATTTAGACTAAATAATTGTCTCTTTTGGTCATTAAAGAGTAAATCACTTTTATGCCTGCTATAACTTTTTCAGGGACAAAGCTGAGGGAAATCTTCCAGATTCAGTTAGCAGGTTGGTTAATAAATTTTTGTTGCTAACTGTTAATGTATGTTTATTTTTCCAAGCAGAAAGAATCTATCATTGCAATGACACCTGTGAAGATAAACTAAGGTATAAAGTACAGAGAGCATAATATTTTCAGCCCCCTTCATACCTCTTTGGTTAGCTGGTATTTTTAAAAATGCAGCTTCTTTCTGTCTCCCTTTTTCTTGCTTCTATATTCCTTGCATCGGCAGTAGATAGGCAATATATCAGTGCTAATGGCACCTTTGCAAACCGAAGAGATTATGACTCTATAACTGTTAAAAATGGAGGACATTGGGGGGTTTGGACATGGATTGACAAGTGTCCACCAGGATCATATGCCATTGGATTTAGCATAAGGGTAAATCTATGTACCGCACTCATTTTAGACATTGAATTAATCTATAAATTTGCTACCTGAATCTCAATGTGTTTTTCCTCTTATTGCATTAGGTGGAAGAATATAGAGGAGCTAGTGATGACACTTCACTCAATGGAATCAGATTATTCTGTTCAACTGAGCAAAGCAACAATATTATGTATACTGTTGAATCTGAACCTGGAGAGTAAGTTTTGTTGTCTCTAAATGTCTCTGATTTTTTTAATTTTATAGAAAATTAGACATTGACACAAAAAATATTAACTTCTTGACTACCCAAAATTTATCTCCTGAATGAGCATAGAGGAAGCAATTCTACTGTATTTTCTGTACATTAATAAAAATCTGATGGAATTAACATTACTCTGTTGAAGGTACAAATATGGCTTATCAATCTTACTAAGAAAAATAATTGTTCTATTTTTATGCTTGTTCTAGACTGTAACTAGATATTGGTCAACATTTTTAAAAAATGGAAGGAGCTTTAAAAGATCTATAATATGCAATATTTTGAATCATTAGCTTTTCTTTTCATAGCACATTGGGGGTGGGAAATAGACGTGCTTGAAATTGATGTGATGGAGAATGTAGAAACCACACCAAGAATTTGTGACATAATATAACCTATTAATTTCTATTTAAGTGAGAGATGGTTACCTGTTTGCTACTTATTCAATTGTATTTCTTAAGAGGTTATTATCAACTAAAATCTCGTCACAAGAAACCCTGAAATCTAGATGTCATTCCTGAATTATCTGTGATCAGTTTGTTTTGATTCTAAAGGTGTTTTTTTTAATAAACTAAGAATGACTGCCTATTAAATGGATCTTAAATTCAAGGGAGAATATAGACAACCAGGAATGCCATGATAAAATTTGCAATCACTTACACAAGTTCAAAGCAGACATACTTTATTGTTTCTTAAACAATTCTCACACAAGGTATAAAATAAGCTTAATGTGAGAGACAATCTCTTTTGAAAGATATGTTGCTGATACTTTATTTTCTTTTTCCAGATACGGACACTGGTCAGGAATTAGATGGTGTCCCCGAAATGGTATTTTACGTTCTTTTCAGTTGAAAGTTGAACCAGAGCAAGGAGCTGGAGATGACACAGCAGTAAACAACATCCGATTCCGTTGCAGCAATGGTCTTCAAATTGAAGAAGCTGGTGGTCAATTTGGTGAATACAGTGAGTGGAGTACCCCTTGTGAGAGAGGAGGAATTTGTGGCCTTCAAACTAAGCAGGAGCCCTATCAGGGCTTTTTTGCAGATGATACAGCCTTAAATGATGTTCGCTTCTTCTGCTGTGAATAAATTCTATAGAATCAAAGAATCATTTTAGCATGATTAAATGAATATGCAATGAATATGCATTTGTTTCTCATTTGTTTCCACCAAGAAAATAGTACATTAGTGATGAGTAGAATGTGTGTATATACATGGAAGTATAAAAAGGAGTACAAAATATTTATCTTTTAACACTGATTGTGCTTTAAATAAATAGGCATTTTGATTTTATTTATTTACAACATTATCAGAATAGATACCACCTGAGGGTTCCCAGCCACTCTATATTCACTGGTTTACTGATATAGTGTATATATGCATATGTGTGTGCATCTATACACACATACCACACTAGTGAAATATAGTCCAGTAATGAAATATAGCAGTCTTCCATTATTTAAAATGAAATAAATCACAGAGAGGCTCGTACCAAAAGAGTTGCACCGTATACATTCAAATATTGTATGTACAAACTAAAGCAATTGATTGATTGATTACACACACACACACACACACACACACACACACGCACACACACACACCAAGTAGGCTGAATAAAAAAAGATTATTCAAAGATTTCCATTTTATAATGCATTCAAGGATCAAGACAAGCTGTTTCTGGCTGTCACTTTTCTTACAAAATGTACTATACTTGGAATTAAAACAATAATCTGATTAAACTGTCACATATGCTAACTGCAATTTAGTCCTGAACTAATCATCTCACATTTTTAAAGTTACATAACAGATGAATTTGAGACTTGTTCTCATGATGAATGTTTAAATAGTTTGGATATATATTTTTATAACTTGATTGTCTACTCAATAGTTGAAATAAATTGCATATCCACATGAAATGTTGGTAGCACAGACCAAGGGTTTGTGACTGCATAATTAATTAATGGAATAATATGCCACTGAGTAAATTATCAATGCCATAAATATGATTATCAGCTAAATTACTTAAACCAGGATTTTTTTAACAGTAAATTTGCAGTTAGCAAGCAAAAAAAACCCTGAATCTTTAGAAAATTTATTTTAAATATTCTATTTTTGTTTAGTTGTTTAACCATTCTTAGGAACTTGTGGAAATGCATGTGTCTGAAATCAAAGTACCAGTATTTATATAATATAGAAGAATATTTGTTTCCTTCTGAACAAATGGTTTGAGGGTACCAAAGAGTTCTAAGGTACATTCATTCAGAGTTGCCTCTTAATGATAAACATGATCTTAAGTTGGAGCTGGGGGAAGTTTAACCATCTGTCAGAATGTTGCAATGCAAGTGTTCTTTTTATTTTATTTTTCCACTTTCACCTTTCAGTCCCAATTCAGGAACCTTTGCAGGCAGTTTCTTTCGTGCCAAACTATTTTTGTGTTGAATTTATATTTATCAACAAAGAAATAAATGGAGACTAGTATAGATCTATTTCAAGCTATTTAGCTCTATTTCAAACTATTTATTCAAATCCCAGAAAGGTATGGCTAGCTGACAAGAGCTAAATAGCTTGAAATAGATCTATATTAGTCTCCATTTATTTCTGTCAGTAAATATAAATTCAATCTTGCAATGCAAGGTACATTGTCCACCAGGAGGCAGTGCATGGCTTTGGTCTCAGTTGGGTTGATCAAATGAAATGAAACTGATGATGACTGCAATTGAAAACATCATATTGGATATACTATATACTGTGTAAAAATAGAGGTATTTCCCTCCTTCAGAGGTAAAAGGGGATGGATATCATGTGAAGCTTTATATATAGGACCATGACATAATGTAACATCTCTCTCTCTCTCTCTCTCTTTCTCTCTCTTCCTCTCCAACTCCCTCTCAGAGAAAGGAAGGTAATTATATATCTTTATGATAGATTTGCATTATAAGTGATGGTCTTCAACCTGGTGCAATCTGCTTGTCAGATACTTGTAAAAGTGAACATTTCAATAAGCAGGTCATTCTGCATGGTAGTGCAGCACTTTGGAAAGTTATCATCCAGTCCACTCCCAGAAAAATGAAATATCCTAGGAAATATTGAAATGGCAGAATATTATATTTCCTTGGATGTGAAAAGGAAAAACATGTTTTAAAGAGAGAATAGCTCCCTGCAGCTTCCTGCCCCCACCCACTTTGTCGTATTAACATCTTTTATTTCATTTTCATTTTCCTTTATACAATCACTTAAATACTGTGCAGTTAAAAAAAAACAATAAACACAA